GGTCAGAGAAAAAGAGGAAGACCCCCAACGAGATGGATTGGCCAGGTGGCAGCATCGATGGACTCAAGCATGGCAACAATGAGTGAGGTTGGCCCAGGACTGGGCAGTATTTCATTCTGTTGTGCATAGGGTTGCTGTGAGTCGGTACCAACTCGATAGTACTTAACAACAACAACAACAAATACCACCTTAGCTGTATTCTGTAACTTATGGTAATTAGTATTTCATTAATATTCCATTTGAGGTATGATTTCTCCTTTGTTTCATTAATTGTTTAGATACAGGTTTTCTAATTTCATACTGCAAGTGAGTGGTTTTTTCTATATTTTGTATATTAAAATGTATAGCCATCATTACAGTTTAATTTTAGAATACCTCTCATGTCCCATAGAGTCCTGGTGTGGCGCTGCGGGTTAATGCGCTAGACTGCAAAGCCATTTGAACTGCAAGGTCTGTGGTTCAAGCTCACCAGCTACTCCTCGGAAACCCTATAAGGGTCGCTATGGGTCAGAACTGACTCGATGGCACTAAACAACAACAACAAATATCCCATAGTCATTAATAATCATTCTCCATCTTAGCTTCTCCAGTCCTAGGTAACTACTAATCTTCTTTCTGACTCTATATATGTGTTCTGTACATTTCATAGAAATAGATTCACATAGTATATAGTTGTGTGGAACTTGATTGTTTTCCTTATTAGTGCTAGTTGCTGTTGAGTTGATTCTGACTCTTGGTGACCCCATGTATGCAGAGTAGAACTCCTCCATATGATTTCAAATTTGTAACCTTTCAGAAGATCACCAGGCATTTCTGGGTGGGTTTAAAACTCCGATGTTTTGGCTAGTAATCAAGTTCTTAATTGTTTACACCAACCAGGGGCATCCTTTTTCATGTAGTATAGTGCTTGCAAGATTGTAGCAGACATCATTTCTTTTTATTTCTAAATAATACTATATTATATGCATGTGCTTTTTATTTGTCAGCTTGATAGCCATGTTTGTTGTTTATACTTTTTGGCTCTTATGAATAATGCTATGAGCAAATATTTGTGTAGTGGACATATTTCTTTTGGGTATATACCTAGGAGCTAATTAATGTTGTTTTGTGCCGTCAAGTCAGTTCTGACTCATAGTGACCCTGTATAGAAGTTTTCAGGAGCAGCTGGTGGGTTTGAACTGCCAACCTTGTGGATAAGCAGTACAGTGCTGATCCTACAACACTATACCAGGACTTATATCCAGCAAAATTATATGTCAAATACGATGACAAAACTAGGATTGTTTCAGATAAACAGAAATGAAGGGGATTTGTAAAAACTAGGAAAACCTTAAAAGCAATATTAAAGGGAGCCCTTTGCTCAGAGAAAAAAAAACATCAAACAACCTGAAATGAAGACATAATGACAGCATCACCCAGATACCAGCCAAAACAAAGAATTCTAAAAAATAAATCAAAGGTACAAGATTGAAAACAGGGAACCAAATACGTTAATCTATAAGTTTTAACAATTATACAGCATAAAGAAGAAGAAACAAATAGTAACACAACTGCTATGTTGTTGAATGCCACTGATTCAGTTCCAGTTCACAGCTACTCTGTATAGGGTTTCCGGGAGAAGCTGGTGGGTTTGAACTGCCATTCTTATGATTAGCAGTCCAGTGCTTATTCTATAGTGCCATACCATAAGGAGAGGAAATCAAGGCAATATCAAGATTTCACAGACTGTTTTAAACCTAGGAAAATAGAAGCAAATTCCAGGAGAACCATGAAAAAAAGTAAGTAAACCTACTCACCAAAATGGAGTCCTGGTGTGGCACTCTAGTATAAGCACTGAACTGCTAACTGCATGATTGGTGATTCAACCCCACCACCCACTCCTTAGAAACCCTATACAGAGTTGCTGTGAGTTAGAACCAACTTGATGATACTTAACAACACCCACCAAAATAACAAGAAACAAAACCATAAAGAATTAAGTACAAAATCAACAACAAAGACAAAACCCCAAAAGAAAATCAATAAACAAAAAGAACCAGTACAGAAAAGGAAGCAGAACAAAGAAACTGTCAGCACATCAAAATAATAATAATAAAGCACAACAAAATGACAGCATAGGCTTTTTGCTCTCATGAAGCTTTAAAGCCTCAGAAACTGGGTTACTGAATTGGAAGCAGCTATACAGTACTCAGCAAAATTTCTGTTGTAGTGAACAAAAACAAAATTGTAAATCTACCTAAAGTAAAATCATTGTTTCATTAATGGCAAAATGGTAATTTGCAAAACACATTGTCAAGAAGTCCCAGCGATCTGTTCCAAAAACCTTAGAAATACAAAAGTTGATAAAGCTAAAAACCACAAAAAAGGGTATATTTGGGGTATTTTCTCATTGGTTAATATTTGCAAAGGTGTAGGTGGCAGGATATTGAAAACCTTTTTGCAAAAAGGAGATTCACGTAACTAGATATGACTGATTATAAATTTCTTAGAATAAGGTTAAAATGGCAAGTATTTTCTAAATATAAAACATGGATACTATTTGTTTAAAAGGTTAGAAAGACATTATAGTTAAGGAGTCTGAGGATATTACTCAACCATTAAAATCATATATTTAACACGATGTCTAAATAGCTGTTCATGCTAAATAATCTCTATTTAACAGGAACCATTTCTAACCACAAAACTGAACTGAGATAAGCAGAGAAAAATAGGTAAAATCACTTTTTTACTGTAATGAACTGCTTATATCTATACCAAGGACGTAATAGACGTTTGTTTTTTATTTAAAAAGACAAGCTATACATGGAATCATTTATGGAAATAAAAAAAATCAATTGACACCAATCAGAAATTAGAAATAATTCAGTGAGACAAATAAGTAAATAACAGTAACAATCCTTGGAGGGTGGGTATCAGTACCCAAGCTGGTAAATCACAGTACAAATGCTGAATGTCAAAGAAAATCTTGAGAGCAAAGCAGAAACAATGAAGGCCATTGAATGCCATGGAATAACATATTCAAAGCACCCAAAGAAAAAATGTCAACCAATAATCCCATATCCAGAAAAGTTATGTTTTGAAAACGAAGACAAAATAAAACTTTCCCAGATAAACAAAAACTGAGACAATTTGTTGCTAGTGTATCTGCTTTATTAGAAATACTAAACAACAACAACAACAAAGCTCTTCAGACTGAAAGCCAGTGATTCTACATAATAATCCAAAGACATACACATACACCCACATATATAACAAGACAAAAAATGTGGTACTGTAAAATAAACACTGGACTGCTAAACACTCGGTCAGAGGCTCCAACCCACTATCTACTCCTT